CAAGTCGCCACGGGAAGCCTTTAGAACACCCAAAGAAACCCTTTACTCGTAAATAATTCAGTCTAGCTCTCATCCCAATTGCGTAAAAACCCCTCTTTGACCGATTAAAATAGTAGCACGCAAAAAGTACCCACGCTTTAGAACAGTCTGAAAATTAATTATATTGAAAAACAAAAAAGCAATTGCTTACACTTTAAAAGGTGTTCTTCTACCTTGTTTAATCTCGGATACAACTTGTTTTGAATTGTGTAATAATTCCTTTACAAGATATTCAACACTGTCAAAAGGGATCCATTCAAAAAATTCACGTTTACCAACAATTTTCATGCATTTATTTACAGTATTAGACAGTCGATATCTTTATTTCCGCTAAAATCTTCAGCTTTATAAATTCGTTGACAATTATTACATGCAGAGCAGGGCCAATTTTTTATTTATTTATTTATTTTTAAACCACTTAAATCATTATCGCTATCAGAATATTTGAATCATTATTTATTTTCTATTTCTTAGGTCTTTTTGTATCTTCGTCATCGCCATCAGTGTCTTCTTCTGAGGAACTTTCTTTTTTGCTCGTTTCGAGATCATCAATACCATGGCTTTACTGGTGTTGATGATATCCAGAGCATCCTGCGAGATATCTATTACTTATTTGATATTTTCTTTGAACTTGACAATATTGCGACGGACTTCTTCTTTTCAGCAACATCTGAGTAAACTTCCTCTTCGGAATCAGCTTGGTCTTCTGATGGTATTTCTCTTTCTATTTAAAATATAAACAATAGTAATGATAATCATATCGATATAATATCGATATTAAAAAATCCTTAACATAATCTTCTATATCAAAGTTCTCATCATCACTTTCTTCTTTCCTTAATGTCACATTTCTTTTTGAAATCTAGTAAAACCAGTTTGATTTTATTACTTGCAGACCTTCCTTCATTTACATGAGAAAATGATAAATAGCGTGCGATATAGAGTACGAGAGAAAGAAATAAAAAAAAGGGATTTTATAAAAATAGGAAGCTAAAATCTGTGTGTGCACTTCAAACAAAATATACGCGAAAAAAAGAAAACAACCATGCTAAACTCACAGCATAAAATCACTTTTTTTTTGCTTAGTATGAAATATTTAGAAAGAATATTAACTTTTTCATATGTTAATAAGCCTCCGCTTCTTTCTCTTCTGTCTCCGTTTGAGCTTTTCTTTTTGCAGCTAATTCCTCGAGCTCTTTTTTTCATCAGCATTATCGAATATGGTTTTAGAAATTACTTCAATCTAGATCAAGCAAGTTGCACACGCGCAAATAAAAATCCAGAAAAGATGTGGGTGGGGTGTGTTGACTAAAAAGAGTAAAAGTCAAAAGCGTGTACTTTTCAAAAACATATAGCTTGAGGCAAAATAAAATTCCAGTCTCTTTTTCTGGATTTGATGGACAAAATGTTTACCTCAAGCATATTTAGTGCATTAATATAAAATTTTTCTGTGTTTTAATTATTTTGGACTGTTACTTATAATAGTAAATCATCAACAATAAGTTGTATAATATTTTTTAATCTAGATATTGTTTATTCTATTTGATGTGGTAATTGCACTAACTTATATGGTGACACATTCGTTATAATGTAATTTTGATAATGATTTCTTATTCATTCAAAAGTGACAGTGATAGGCTACTATTACCATAGTGAAATTGAATTCTTTAATTCCGTAATTTTTATTTTTAATTTCTACATGCATATCTTTTCATAATTTCCTTGATAATTCCTACATGATAATCCTTCCATAATTAGTTTCTTGTGTAATTCGTATTGCAAGCCAAATTTGGAAATATTATCATTATGAATACGTAGGGAACAACGATTATCTAGACAATAACGCTCAAGAGAAATGATCAATGTAAAATACTAACCTTAGAATTAGCGTAGTCATTCAAAACTGTATATATGTATAGAAATGTTTTTTGAATCTCTGAAAAGACATGCTTTGATCGAATAAAATAACAAATTCTTACTTGTAATAATAATATTGCTCGTGAATACACTATAATTTTCTTGATCATCATCAAATCTTGCGGAGCAAAGTAGCAAGTAGTGGATGCTCCTCCACTCTAAATAAGCCGTTGATTTTATTAAATTAATATTTTTTTTTGATTTTGAATTTTTCTTTGACCAGGCAATATCGATAAGTCACTGTTGTGTTTGAAAGATTACTAAGCATGTATTGCATGTATCTCATGCATTTGTCAAGCTGGATAATTGGTAACTTTGGACAGGAGTATTATTAATACAAAAAATAAGTGCACACACATAGAATGACCGATAACGCTGACTCATTAATTTGTAATTTTAATCCTGTCTTTCTATAAATCAGATTACCATACATCCATAGAAAGAAGAGGATCTATCATTATGATTTTGACTTTTATTTGTGTGTGTTAAAAGAAGAGTAAAATCGATTTCTATGCATGAAAAGTGAGATGGAACACCTTTTATCGTTATGTTTATCGTTATCGTTATACCTTCTATTTGTGTGTATAAATAATAAATGGCTCTTCTTTTAAATATCGGTACATGTTGTAGGTGTAATGTGTTGATAATTCTCAATGTAAAACTTTGAAATGATTTGTAATTCAATGCATGAAAATAAAGACCTACGTAGGGTGTGTCGTATTTAAGAGAGCTTCCGTAAAATAATCACATGTACTAAATGACATGCATAAACTGAATGCATTTGATTTACAACGTCTTGCGTTCTGTTACATTAGTAACACAAGATTTATTTGGAGAAGCATTGTTTTTCCCTTTTTAACGCCAATCACTTGTACATGTAATTAAATATTATGACACCGCACACCTTAATTATAAATAATTCCTGCAGTAAATTACACAATAATTTTTCCTGTTATAATGAAACAAAAATGTATATAAAATGCATATAAAGATTAGAGATTAGAGAACAAATTAATCACTTACTTGTGTGCAATAAGTTCTTATAGTATTGCTTTTAATCAATTATTCTAATAATAATTCATTGTTGTTGTAGAGAGGGATTCCACTTTGGGTCCAGAAAAGTTAATTGTTTGTTTTAACGTTCGCGACGATTGCGATTTGAAGGTTTACGTTTTTGGTCCAGAAAAAGTGGTTGCGTCATTGACGTTTGTGAATACCCGTTTTATTTGTTAGAACGAAACAACAATTGAAATACAACAATATCGGCACTAGAAAACTAATAACAAATAGTATTAGTCTAACTCGTTTCTCCCATCCAAGTTACAGATTAGCAGTCTAATTCCTATATTCGGACCCTAACCTGTAACGAACAATCAAGGCCATAACGATAACGATAAATAAAACTACGTACATGTACTATCCAAGGAAGAACTCACATTTACTACAATCATGAGTATTGTGATCCAAATACTACAATCATGAGTATTGTGATCCAAACACTCATTGTAGTAATCCCGTACCCGATAAAAAACGCGTTCACTACAATGGTGAGTATTCGAAATTTTAGAATTCACTTTATAAAATCAGTGGTTTATTTAAAACTTTGAAATAAATGTGGAAGTTGATTTTTGCGTCATTATGTTAAAAGAGCATTTATGTAGTGTAAAAGTGTCCCAATGAATCCGATATCTATAAGCTGCTGGTTTATTGTCCAACATCATAAAAAAGTATTGTACAGTCATTAAACACGATGACAAGCATGAACAGTCAATATTTTATTTCCAAAATTTAATGTATGGGAATTTTTTTAGTGTAACTTGCGGCGAACCAATCACAAAGTAAAATTCATTTCAAGTGTAATATTCCGATACGTAATTGATTTTTGTACGACAAAACCATCTGACGTATTAGATATCGATATATCAATCTTCTTTCACGGAAACAAAGCGATAGCGATAGCGATAGCCTACTAAAACAGCCTAAATTAGTTTCTTTTCCTGAGTTGTCATCTGATAATACAAAGTGTATATTCATTGTGTTGTTCTTGAGCGATTTTTACACCAATAGCAAGCACATTTATCCAAAGTATGTTGACAGTTTTGGTATTTCCAAATAATTTTCTATGTCGATAATTTGTTAAATACGTATTAATAATGAACAAACAAACACAACCTATATTAGTAATAATAAACTTTGTTCTCTCGTAGTCATCTGTGCGCGCAACAAAGGAAATACATGTATGCATCGAAAAAGTTGTACAATATCTGATTATTATATATAATACATGTATCTACTCTGATTATTTTAATATCTACTTTCTCCACACGAGATTTTAATCATGGGAGAAAATTTAGATTCGAGTAATATCGATATCGATATACAAATTACAGAAGCTTCCCGCAATGATGTGCCCAATTCGGTTACACCTAAAGTCGTTTCCTGCTCGACATCAACAAATGATGTAAAAACAACTGACTTGGATAACAAAGATATAGCCGTACTACTAGAGACAACATCAAAAGCTACAACATCAGCAGCAGAGCTCGATGAAACTAACATAAAAGCACAAAGCTTAGACGTAACTAACACAATTTCTTCGCCCAACATAGTAAGTGTTGACGATCAATCAAAAAAAGGGAAAAATCTACGTTCAAAGGTCTCCATGCGAAGGTGGACGAGCACTAAACGTGCATTTAGCCTACGAAAAAAATCCGGAAAAACAAGCGTTATTGGAGATAATGTCCAATCGAATGATTATACAAAAAATGAAGAAGATAACGTTCAGAAAAATGCAGACGGTGAGAATAGCAAAAGTTCCGATAAATCCAAAAGTAAGAAGAATAATTCTCGAACCGATACCGGAGTTAATGACACAATGATTACCGCCCAAACAGACCAGATATTAAACATCGAGGTGGTTACATCCGAAAATATGGTGACCACCTGCTTCCACGTAATGATGCCGAAAGGCTTGCATAAAAAAACTATGGTGTTTGTCATTGGTAATATTCAGGCTCTAGGGTCAGACAAAGATGGCATTGTACGGCTTAAACGACACAAGAAAAATCCCATGCATTGGTATTCTGATCACATCAGTATGCCAATTTCGATTTTTCAAAATGAGTCGGTTCACTATAGGTATTTCATTTATAAGGGCATCGAGAATGGTTTCGCAAAATTTTTTAAACAATTAGTCAGCAAAGAGTCATCTGAAAATGTGGTTCCTGAACTCGGCGTAGGAAACTGGCATCACGACAGCATTGATCATGAATTTATTTCCAAGGAAAACCAATACGACATATGGAATAACAGTGAAAAGTACCCCATACGTTTGAAAGATTTGCAGGAAAACTATCCTTATCTCTCTCTCATCTATCAATCGGTATCGAGAAAAAATCTAAAAGATGAAATCATGGTATATCGAAATATTAGCGAAATGCATTCATATGTATTGGATCATGATATGATAGAACGTTTTATCTTCAAGTATTTTGATGTCCCAAACACCGTTGAACAAAAAATTTTCTTATGCATACTGTTGGGTTACGCGATAGATGAGAGAATTCATAAGAGTTATATGCCACTTGGGTACAGTCTTCCGGAAAAGTTTCCTTCCATTGAGTTGTTACATGCTTTTAAAGATGTTGATAAGGATGATTTGCCTCGGGGAGTCATTGAAACTCTGGCACCAGCTGTCTGCGCGTTAGTACTGCATATCTCAACCTATTCTACGAAATTCGAATGGATGAGAGCCTTTGAAATCGCTCCTGTTGTAGATCCAAAGTATACTTTCCTCGAACATATTAAAGTTCCTGCGTATACAAAAGGAAATGCGTCAAATTTTCTGGCCTCCCTCGAAATCGTTGTCAAGCCATGCATGGATAGCATTATGTATGATAATAATTACATAAAAGTTTGTAAGGTAAGTTTATCAGATACATTACGATCCCGGTTTTATTTCATAACATATGTTTCTGAATAGCCAATCACAATTTGTATCTCAATACAATCTTAAACCAGCATCTTATCACCTTATGCCGAGACCTTGGTACGATTATATTTTTGTGGCAAACCATTTTCCGTCCTGACGCGAATACAGATGAAGAACTTCACCAACTTTCGCTTGATCACTTAAGTTACTTTATAGTAAATGATAGAGCGAAAGAGTTAGAAAAACATCTTGAGGAGATACCTGTTGACTTTGGCATCGATTTTGCCACAAGGTTCAGAGATAGAGCTTTGACTTTATTGGGTAGTTCTGGGATTACTTGGAGCAAAGATAACATCGATTCGATGCGCAGGTTACTCGATAGCGCTAGGTTGAATTGGCAAAAGGGCTCTGCATTGCAAGCGCTCAAATATATTTCCATTTCAAACTATCTGGAACTGCTGCAAGTTTTCCCTATTCAACTGGTAAGTTTTCTCGAAGAGGAATACATGGATGTTGGTTCTGATGATGAGATTCTCGGCAAAATTTGCGCTTCATGGTTCAAAAGCACGTTAGCGTGTATCATGGAGGAGCGACATGCATCTAAACGTATCGAGAAAAACTTTGCATGCACGGCCTTTCATTACCTCTTGAAAATGTATTCTATTATGATCAAATACAATGTTACATACGACGAGCTTTTTAAAATTGCTGAGAAATCGGTAGAGGTTCTTTCTGATGACGTAATCTTCGATGCTGCTATCAATATTGGAAATTTTAAACAAGTAGAACTTATCGAGATCTTTGGTCGTGTATTAAAAAGAAGATTCGGTTCCGATGTCAAGAACAGCGATAACCAGCTACTAGGCAAAATAATGAAAATCTGCAACTCTAGCGGACAGCAATTGCATATTCCAAACACGTAAGTTAAAGTTCCTTCTGTCAATTTTACTCCTATCATGACAACATTAACTCGTGGCTTTTTTTAACAGACTCTGTGAAGAAACCGTCTTCCATATATTAACAAAACTACAAGAAAATTCATTGAATATAGAAATGGATGAAGTGGAAATTATCGACGATAATTTCCATAAGTCATTGCTCGCCTCATCGAATTTTTGGGTTTGCATCTTAAAGGCTACTGGTTTTGTTGAGGGACTTCATAGTCGGCATACGTACGTGATAACAGCACGTCAGGCCATAATTCAGTTAGCCAGAAAACTGCTAGATAAATCCATAGAAATAAATATGCTAAAAGACATCCTTGATTATAATGACAATATATTATTAGCCTACTTCTCTACGATTGATGGATCATCAAACCTCAACATTACCAAGATAGTTCTTCAGTATCTTCGAGATAGTTACGAAGTGTATATGAACAAGTTAAATCAACTCGATGTTTTCTACAAACGATTTTGTGCTAAAGCCACAGATGTAAAGGAATACCTTTCTGACCTAACAATAAAACTAAATATGCAGGAAAAGGTTACTTTTGAAAACACATTACAAGAAACTTTCTGGAAATTTCATCAACCGGTCATCAAGGTAGCACAACATGCGTATACATACGCCAAATCTCAGACATTCAGAAATGTTTTTGAAAAATGTTTAAAGGAAAATGAAGTGACCTTGACGGTCGAATTGATCGTCATGAAGTATATGCGTGCGGCCTTTTCGGATTATAATAATATGCGAGCCGAGTATAAAGACTGGGCAACACTCGAATGTTCTAAGGTCAGTTCATTTTGGAAGGATGTTGAACTTAAAAACATCGATCATGAACTTGAATTGATATCACGGGGAATGAATTGGCGCCCAAAAGAGAAACTAAAAGAAGCAGTGAGTTATCTTGCTCATATTAATTCTTGGAGGGAACGACTCGAGGATTTGGAAAGAACTTTGAGGGTTTTTAGAGTGCGGGATGTGGCAGAAAGTTGGTTGGCCAATGTGCGCAACAGGTTGCTCAAAGAACCTTTGACACTCCTGGAACTATTTAAAGCATTCAATGAAATAAACAAATATATTTATAATTTTAATGACAACTGCTGGAAGATGGTAGGCGCGTTGTCTTACGCTGGGGATTTAATTTCTTGGCTTCAGACAATAGTTAAGAGCGACCTAAGAAATTTAATCAACGGAGTAGACGAGAAACGTGATGTTCAAGAAGAAACTGTCGCCACATTGCTTGAAGTTAAGCAATTCTTGGAACCTCTTATGAATGACATGGTAAAACTTTCTAAGGAAGGAAGGGCGACACTTACGATAATCACTAAGTTTTTGGAACATGTGCGTGGACTAATTTCGAAGAATAATTCTTTGCCTGAGAAAGTTACCCAATGTTGTTCGAGTAGTCTCGCCCTTCAGAATATATACTCTAGCATATTGAATAGGGGAGAAGAAACTAAAGAACGCATCAGAGATGCCATGACTAAAGGTTCATACAAATTCAACCGTGACGATGATCATGATAAATGCGTGGTAAATTTATTTTGTAAAAATAAGTCCGGAAACATAATTTCCTACGATCTTTCAGGCATACGAGATTTGCAAGGTCAGGCTCTCCTGATCGCAAAGCAAGCGGCATCGGCTTTTGTTTTACGTCTGCCAGTTGAGAAAGAGAATAGTCTAGAACAAGGGACCGACGAACTGATGGAATTTGTACAGCAAGTAGATACGGTACACCAAATTATAAAATACGCTTCTCAATTAATGGAATTGGGTCATTTTGTCTATAGAGAATGGAGTATGTCTGCAAGCGCCACAGAAAATTTGATGTCGAAGCTTGAAAAGCTCAAACAAAATTTTCATGATTGGTAGGTGAAACCTTAGTGTTAGCTACTAAACAATTATTTTTATTTATTAACTATAATTTTAAATCGCATTAGGGAAAAAACCATGAAACAAGCACAGGAAAAACATTATTATTTAACTTTCTACACTGCAAGGCATATTCTGACGTTTTACGATTATTTTAGCTGCAAGGGCAAAGTTGACTCCAAAACCCGTGAGACATGTGAAATATTGCTTCGATTTGTAAGCAAGGGAGCAAAGTTACCACCAAACAAGGGCGATATACGGATCGACGCGTACGAAATGAATTTTGACTGGGTTCTCTGCGAAATAGGAAAAAAATTATACGACATCTTTACGCAAACATCCAAATACCCTCGGAAAATCAGGGCCAAACTAGAACCGATTGTCTCGGATGTAGTTTACCCGGGTAAATTGTTTGTCGCTGCGTGCGCTGATAGTTATCGTGTACCGAACATTATTCTATCTCTATATGCGAATCACGGTTCATATCCTGAACCATGGCAATTGTTAATGTGTAGAACCACTACAACTGCTGAGGAACTTTCACTTTTCATCAAACGATGTTTCCTCACCGCGGCAAATGGATACAACAAACGCCTATTTTGCATCGCGGGTTTGGAGTTCCTTGAATTCGAATTACAGTATAAATTAGTCAATGACGTACGCAATTTTCAGGAAACCAATACCGATTATTACTTGGCTTTGATTTGTTGCAAAGAAAATGGAATTCATCACCACATTCTTGACCAATTTTCTGAACGCATGTGCATCACGAACGGTCTTGGAGAAAATACCATGAAAAATATGTATATGGAACTCTGTTCCAATGTGTTTTGTGTCACCTCTGAGTTATCCGGCCAAGGAAAGACAGAATATATAAAGAATGCTATCATGGAAGTCGGTTTGATTTCACGAAGTTTATCGATAAGTGACAATATACATTTCGATGAACTAGTTCAAAAGCTGAAAGAGTGCAAACTCCGACCTATAGAGAGTATGCATTTGAACATCATGTCTGTTGATAATCCTAACGATGTTAATGTCTTTCTTTTCGAGCTTTTGACACTCGGAATTGTTTCAAACAAAGTGGATATTGTTTGTCTCCCAAAGCATGTGTTCATCGAGATTGCATCGACAGAGAATGAACATCTACTAAAGTCAATTCCGATCGCACAATACCTTAAAAGAGTGCACCTGAAATGGAACATCAACGATCTTATTGTCTCTCACGAATTAATGAGCCCAATACAAATAGTATCTTCTTATTTGGACGCACACGATCGCAAAATGCTTAGCGAAAAGGACATTTCATTCACAGGAAAAAAAGCTGTGGTAAACCATATCAATCCAGAACGATGTCACGCGTTAATACAAAAGTATTTTCTAGATGGCAACAATGAAAATATCACATCGTATCGTTTTGTAGAAATATTTTTAAATGTGTTTGCGGATCAATTGATTCGTCTGTCATCGAGTTCATTTTTCAACGTGGATAATCTTAGACTGATGGTGGATGATAAGGACGTTCGCACAACATTAATGACAACCTTGCTGGAAGTCTCCAAATATTTCGCGACACGTTCAGTCGCTACAAAAGCAGCTCAACTAGAATCAACGCAGAATGTTGATAATGATCGACTGGAAACTATCGTACAATGGGATGCTTCAAACCATCACTTGGTGTTCTTCCTATCTCAAACACCGGATTCTATTTGCGCTCTTTATCGTGACCGAAATAAAGTTCCTCCTGATGTGAAACGTCTGTTATTGAGTCAAGAAGTTAGTAATTATCAGGTTGCTCCTTTTCAACAAGAGGAACAGAAAGTATGGGAATTAGACGACTATCATACCATGTCAGCAAATGCCTTATTAGAGAAATTAGAGCTTGTGGCGAGAAGGTCGATGAGAAAGCTAAAACTCCCTAATTACGCGTTATCAGCAGACAATCTTCTTAAGATGGCGTTGATTCTATTGAGAGCTCGAGCGAATATTCCGGTGGTCATATGTGGGGAGGCAGGTTGTGGCAAGGTATGTAAAAGTTATTAAATTTCATATTACAGATGCAAAGAAGAAACAAAGAAAAAACCTAACTGTTCTAATGCTTTTCCGAAAAGACGAGCTTGATTGGTTTTCTAGCGGCAGTTGTAGAAGTTAAAGTTAAGGTACTTTCACTTCATGCCGGTATACGTGAAGACCAAATTCATGATTTCATGAAACAAAGTACTCAACTTGCCATGAATAGCCAAATATGGTTGTTCTTTGATGAGATCAATACTTGCAATCATATCGGGCTTCTTGCTGATCTCATAGCTCACAGAACACTGTCAGGCAGGCAGATACATCATAACATTCGTCTTTTTGCTGCATGCAATCCTTATCGATTCCGTAAAAAAAGTGTAACAAGCGTAGGTTTGGAAAAAAATTACCAAGAACAGAGCAAGTTGGTCTATCAAGTACATCCGTTACCTGATCAAATTTTGGATTATGTATGGGATTATGGCGTCCTCAAACCTGAAGAAGAGAAGGTATGTGTGCCCGTCTTGATTAGTATAAATCCCAACACTTTTGATTTGACTTTAATTCTTCTTTTCAATCAGGCATACATTAGAATTATGGTGGAAAGCCGGCTAGGGTCATATCCAGTGTTCGTGGATCTCCTTTGTGAATCACAGAAATTTATTCGTATGGTTGAAGAGCCATACACCGTCAGCCTGCGCGATGTAAAGCGAGCGATCAAGTTAGTGGAATGGTTCCAAAAAAGCCTGAAAGAACGACCATCAGCCACACGAGCCAATGGCATCGCACTCTTCATGAAACATTGGAATTATCCACCGAAAAATGAAAAAAAATTGAAATGTTGTAGCTTTGTTCTATCACTCGGACTTTGTTATCAATCTCGTTTATATGATCAAGATTTACGAAAAAGATATCGAGAGTGTATGGCTCAGGTTTTCAAGGCACACAAAGAGAATATTTCTGCCTCAGCATTTCAAACAATAATTCGTAAGGAGCAAGAGGATTTCATGCAGAGAATGGTGTGTCCTCCGTCGACAGCGGATAATGATGCACTTTTGGAGAATGTTCTCGTGATGATTGTTTGTATATTGAATCGGATCCCTGTTTTTATCATCGGAGTTCCTGGAAGGTTAGAAAACTTTTAGTGTTATTTATTATATCTTCGTTTTATTTTATAGGTTGTTCATCTATTGACAACGTTACTTTTGACAGCTCAAAGTCTCTGGCAGTACGACTTATAAGTTCAAATCTTCGAGGGGAAGAGTCGGAAGATGACTATTTTAAGACACTACCACAGGTAAGCCATGCCATATATATATATATATATCGTTTTAGGGTACTTTGGGTTACTGTTCTAATAAATGAAATGTTATGACTTTATGTAAGGTTTTTTTTATATCACATCAAGGTTCTGCATCATCGACTTCGGCCGGTATCCTTAAGGTTTTCGATACTGCAGAAATTTATCAAAGAAAAAGTTCAGAAGCGTTCCCTGTGCAAGCTGTTGTCCTTCTTGACGAGGTCGGTCTATCGGAAACTAGTCGATCCAACCCATTGAAAGTTCTCCATGCTCTTTTAGAACCAGGTTACTCTGGTGAAGACCCTATGGAAAGCCTAAAAACATCAGTTAGCACAGAAGACAAAAAAGGTCCGTCAGCATCGGTCTTTAGCAAAGAAAACAAGGAACTCCCAGCAGTGCCAGTTATTAGCGAAGGAGACAAAGAAGTTCTATCAGCGTCAGTTTTTAACAAATTAGGCTCATCAGTGTTAATTGCTAACAAAAGAGATTCCAAAGATGGCCCAACCGTGTCAGTTGTTGGCATTAGCAATTGGCGTCTGGACAACAGCAAATCGAGCAGAGCTTTGCTTGTACAAAGACCAAAATTCGGCATTGACGACCTCACTTTAACAGCCTCCATGCTTTTAGATGACAAAACCAAGAATGGAATCACCGATCCCAAACTCAGACAACTTGCTGATGCTTACCTCGATTATGAGAAGAATCAAAAGTTTAAAAACTTCCATGGTAACTTTTATCTTATGGCATAGTTGCATAGTTGACAGACAGATAGAAAGTGACTTTATTTTATTATTAACTAGGACTCCGTGATTACTATGCGCTGGTGAAAAGCTTGAGTGGCACAGAGCTGACAAGTGAGATCTTCTATTCGTATTATTTATTCGTTGCTAGTTTACAATGCTGACACACATTGAATTTTGTAAATTAGCGAAATCATTGGAACTGGGACTGATTAGGAACTTTGGAGGAACCGACCAGATTAAATTAATATGCGAGAAATACTTTGGTAAAGTTTTGAAAAGTTTTGGCAACAGTAATAACTACACATATTCTCTGATTCCTGTCGAACGACTCATAAACGAGAACCTGAATCGGAAAGATACGCGGCATTTAATGGTCATTGGGAAAAGTGATTCTCTAGTCAACATCCTAACATATCATATGCGAGCTCAGCACATGGACCCTGTCGTGCTGTGTGGATCACAATTTCCTGATGATAATGGTGGTGATTATTTGTATGCCGTTTTAAGTAGAATAATGGTAAGCATTTAATTAAAAGTTTATTGTATCGAAATCAGATAATATTGAATGATAATAACCTATTAATTTTCATTTTCTTTAGATGTGTGTAGAAGCAGGAAGACCTTTAATTCTCACGGATTTGGATATTATCTACGGTAAGCCCTCTCTTTTATTCTTTTAAAAAATATTCACTCTAATTATCACGATCTTAAATATCTCTGCAGGGAGTCTCTATGATTTGTGGAATCAGAATTATATTTCCCTTGGCAGCCGTGGAGATACCAAGTACTTCGCACGCGTTGCACTCGGTGCATATTCAAACCCAATGCTATATGTGCATCCAGACTTCAAATGTATTCTTGTGATGGATGAAAATAAACTCGAACATACAGATCCACCTTTGCTCAATAGATTTGAGAAACAACGGTTGACAATAAACGACATACTCTCAGAACATCATAAGGAACTTTTTGAAACTTTGGATAAATGGGTTTTTCAAATATCAACACTACAAGGAGCTACAGCCCAAAGGGTATCAAAGGAATTCACCGAAAAAGACATTTTTATGGGATTCGATAAGGAAGAAACTATTCAGAGTCTGGTATTCGATCAATGCAAGAAGGAGGAAAAAGATGGGGATGATGATTTGATTTTGAAGAGATGCAAGGAGAGGCTGATAGCCATTGCCTCAGCAGATGGTATTGTGCGTGCAAGACAATCTATTTTATCCATGCAAAAACCCGAAGAAGTCGCTGAGTTGAGTGGTTCCTACTTTAATAATGGGCTACATGATAATATCGAGTCATGTTTAAGATTATTGCTTGGTGATAAGAATGATCGGACGAATAGAGAGGGGCAATTAGTAATTATCAATACATTTTCAAATATTAACACCAATGTTAAGGCTTGCTTGAACAAATTGGTGACTTGCCAAGTGGATAAACTTTCAACATTCAAAACAGAGGCTCAGCTCCAGGATCGGATGAAACGTTTTTGGTTGGATAGCGATGATGAACTTCTGGTTATACAATGTGACCTATCAACGGTAAATTCTGGCTGCATCAAACTTGCAAAATTCATTATTGAACAAATCCGAACAAAATACTTGGAAAAAAAACGGAAGATGAACATTGACATGCCAACCAAGCACGCTTGCATCATTCTTCATATTAATCGCGAACAGAGAGTAGTTTCTGCTTCGTTTGATTTCATGTGTGGGTGGAATCAGATTACCGTTGGGACACTGACCCCACAAGAGAAAGACCTGCCAGTCCTTCTGGACGGAACCATTAGAGATATCATAGATTCAACGTTACCATTCGAAGAGATCTTTCGGCAAGAATTGATGTGGTGTCTTCTCTGTATCAAGTATCCATCAACAGTGGAATCTGTAGACCATATTAAGTAAGGATTTCTAATCTCTTTTAAGCTTTCGTGCCTATATTTTAATCATAAATTGTTTCTTTCAGATACCTCGTCAGTGAAATTCCCCAACATCCACGGCTTATAGAAGTCTTGAAACAAAAAACATTGAAATGGTTGGATGAGAACACTTCATCAAATTGGCAACTGCAGGTTGCCTCTGACAAGAAAGTACTTTATTTACATTCATCATTCTCCGCTGCTCTTCGAGGATATATCCGAATTCTGGTGAGGAAGCACATTGCTAAGTTGTTGTGCACACTTGAGCGGCTATCAGCTCTCAAAACTTTACTAGTTCTCGAACGCAAAAACGGTGATAGCTATAACTACCTTATTGAATTTTGGTATCAAATGTTCGCTGATAACAACATTATCAATACTGAAATGTTGACGGACCCGAAACCTGATCTTTATCGCATGGCGAGCGGTCCATACACCATGGAATTCCCCTTCTCCTGTTATCTTATCGAGCAGATCAATCATTACGAGAAGCTCTGTGTGGAGGACATTAAAATGCTTGAAGAGGATGAAAACAATATTGATACGATCACGGGAAAGCTATTGAGCAATGAACTTGCTGACTGCTTTGAACGGTTCCAGAACATTATATCAAAAACGCCCGCTCTTGTTAATGCGCCTCTTCAAAAAGCAGCTAATTTGTACATTAATGATTTTCTTACCGTCATATCTTCCGATCTTGGAGGTATTGAGAACTTTGACCTTCTAAATCTCCTGCTACTTCGGCGTTTGGGTAAAAAAATGATCCAGAATCCTATTAGACTTCACACATATTGGTGGACAAAGTCAGACATTGTAATCGCTGAATTACAGCTAGCTAAACTGTGCCCTTCAATTAGACATGAAATAGCTGAAGACGTAGGTGACAATTTTGAGAATTTTAAAAAGGATCTCCCGAGTATAGCCACTAAGTTAACACTAGATCTTATTCGGGAGATGGATAGTGAAAAACAATTACAGCAATGGCAGCTTGAAGTCTCCCAAGTACTGCCTCTTTGTTCCGAACTCTCGACAAGTCTCTCAGCTTCTTCCCTTCAACTTCTTAATATATGCAATGATCTTGTCTCAATGCAAGTAATTCCTTCTAACAGCCTTTCAACCATTATCGAGCTTGGACATAATTATGACATTTCGAATAGAAACTTTACAGATTATATCTTCCAAATTTTGGACAAAAAAGATAGAAATGGGATGAATATCATTGCAAGACAAGCCTTCGTCTTACGAATCTTAGATACTATTCCTCTTGAATCTCCTGCTCGCCTACACCTCTACGAGAACCTTCTTGCACAAGCTCAGCCACCGCCTTTCACAGCTTTTATAATACGTTGCATCTTCCGTTCAGAAGAAAGAGATATGTTCTCAGCTATATTCAGGAATGCGGATGAAGTGTTCTATTTCTCACCAAGACTCAATACAATAAACAAACAATTAGGAATGCATCAGCGTGACTCGCATTTAGCAGCATTGTGCTGCGATGTTATTCAAAAGGAATTCTATGCCAAAATGGGGTTACATAAACTTGTAGGATTATTCCAAGATACTATCCAATTATTGTGTGCTAATAAGGTTAAATCTTTACAGCTAGTTTGTTCTATAGCTCTATTAAAGCAGTTTGTACAAGATTTATGGTCCGCCTCCACTCTTGACAAGGCTTTGAATGTGCCGATTGAATTTAATTTCACCGGCTCAGAAGAATTCTTGGTCGGTCTAAACAATTTAATGCGAATAGCACACCCACAGATCCAATCGCTCAAATTCTATTTTCTCAAAATCTTGAGAGCACGTGGTCTCTCAATGAATGATCTTAAGCAATTTCACAATATTCAACAAGAGACTCTGCCATGGCTTTCTGATTTACAATGGAATAAAGACATTGACTCTCGCTTACCCTTCAATCCCTACTTTTTGCTCAGGGAATATGAAGAAGCAGAAAATGCCATGAACGGAGCTCATTTCAATGACTTTTTAGGAAAGCTTTTGTTGACTAACCAGGTCAACTTGCGCATTGCTTTTGTTGGGTTTATTGTAGCCCGCCTATATGCAATTCAGGCAACGCGAAATTTGAATGAAAATGAAAATGAAATGACAACTTTTTTGCAAGTTAATTTGGGTAACATTAATATATCACCAGTTTATAAACGATTTGTGGAAGGGCTTCTAGCAAATGACCATCCTTTATTGCAGATTAATCGGAGAATTGATAATACAAATTTGATAATACGCTTGGTCATTGTTCACATAATTGCAGTTCATGCATCGCTTCCTGCTAATCATTCACCATTGACATTATACCTTCACAAACTGCAAGAAATGCAGAACACATATATATTAACCTGTCCATCTGATGAAGATGCAATATTAATGGGCGCCATTACTGAAGTCAAATGGTAAGCTATTGCAATGTCCTTGCCATATTGATGTCTATATTTACAAAACCTCCTTCTTCCCGATTATTATATAGGTACCGGTGTGTTTGTGGCTATAAATACGTCGTAAGTGAATGTGGTCAAACTATGCAGGCTCGATCATGCCCAGCAAAAGGATGCCATAGGACAATTGGTGGACAAAACCACATATCGGCAGCAGGCCAAACAAGATTGGATGATACCCAAGTTCAAAATGCCATCGCTAACAGAGAAAAGACCGGTTATATAATGGAAGCAGGAACATTAGAACAAGGCAAAAATGTTCGCGAAATGACTGCATCTTCATATCGTATCTTGCATCTTTTTGTTCACGCTCTCATTGTTACCTCTGCACATTCACAAATATTCTTTAATAATATTGCTAATCCTATTGAGCATTGCCTGGACCACATCACAAAAGATTGGGAAGTATTAAAAACTCTCTTGAACTGTGATAATGAAAATTTAGCTTTAATATTACATGACATACTTCATTCGATCGCCCAAGATAGTCCGACTCAGAAACCTGTATTAACAACTTCAGAAGCACGAACAAATTGGGAATGCCAATTCACCACGCGCCATATTACTAATCGAGCCAGAAATCCTGCAGCTGCTGCAACGAATTTGCGCAATAAACTTCAGAGAGCTAAAGATGTTAGAAAGAAAAAAACTACCGCTCTTGAAGGGGAGATAAATGAGACTTTGACATTTGATAATGCTTATAGTGCAAGACGGTTACCTAGATTATGGAGGCGTATTGGGGACACAAGCCTTGATAACTTCCGTACATATTACTTAAACAATGAAAACCATCGCAAGAATTTCCCATTCATTTCAATCTATTTCGAATATGAGAAACGTCTGCCACATCTGAAACATATACATCACTTAGTGAAATTTGTACGCATACTTTTCACACGTCTTAGCTATCGCATCAAACGAGATGAAGCATTACATATGACATTCCAAGAGTTTATTGACAAAGATGCCAAAGCAGGTGGATACAAAGAACTACAGCATTCTCTTAAGGCAGCATTCAATAACTTTGCTAAATCTTGGAATGCTGTAATGCCACTAATTGAAAGATATCAATGTCACGATTTACCTGCCAATAAACCTAAGATGAATTTGAATTGCCAGATTGTATTTGGTCTTGTAGAAGGCAAGGATGCAGGTCTATTTTTATGCGCAGCACTGGAATATTTAGTTGATCTTCAAAATAGATTCCTACGTGATATTATGAATATTCCATCTGGAACATGCCATTCATTGAAATTCATCGAGCAGCAGACAAGACTTAAGCCCGGTGCAAACAGCCCATATCACATTAAATCTGTACGACTTGAAGACGCTCGACAAGCTAATTTCATAGATTATGAATGGAATCCAAAAATTCTGGAATACAGCCAACGTAATCTTGACATTGGTCGAGGAGTAGAGATTGAATATGATCTCTATAAAATCGAAGCAGAACTTGCGCGAGATATAATTTTCAAAAAAACATACTTAGAACCTATTGAGCAAGGCGGACTCATACTAGAACCATTCCCCTACTGCATGGAAATGTTCCAGGATTCCACAACTATATTTTTTGAAATTAAACAAATGATTAAACAGGAGCCAATATCACAAGATTTGTTAACATTACTCACCAGCGGAGTCTCTTCAAACTATTCTTGCAGATTTAGCAGCGGCACCAGAAGTGATGAGACAATATTATCTGACAATGAATCAGAACTATTATCCGCTCTAGAATTGCTTTTATGTTTCGTTAAGAGGACTGCAGGAAGTGATGGCATTATAACCATCAAGGTTGATGGCAATATAACCATCAAGGAATACATCTCGCAATGGATGAAGCTCTCCGTTCTTACAGAAAACAAAGAACTAGAGAAAGTGCTGAACGTTGGTCTACGACTCAAGCATGTTATCGCACTTTATGAGCTTGTTGAAGGCAAGGTTGCGGATATTGTGATAGAAAGCATTAACACCAAATATAAGACCAAACTTACAGAGGATATGGAAAATGAGATACTGACAGCTTGCTCTTTTGAAGAAAAGGATGTTAAACTTAATGCGAACCTTATTCCAGCTGAAGCATTTATGCTCGCCTTGAAACGATTTACGCTACGTAAATTATCAGTAGAATCTATATGTGAAGATCATCGACTATTAGATTATTTGGAAGAAACAACTATTGGGTGTTGGCCAGATGAAATAGATGAGAATTTGATTTCAGACATGTTTCCTCCGTCACTTTTGCTAAAAAATACGCATGCAGCATATCATTTTACAAAAAAGAGGATAGAGGTAAGTGATCATTTGCTTGATATTAACATTGGGTCGTTATATATGAGGCTAATTTGACCAATTTTTTTAGATGGTGGCTGCAGAAAAGCAGATTACATTGAAGCAGGCTAACATCCACAAAGAAGAACAAGGGCAGATGTTTAAAATATAAAGTTGTAAAATTTTAACCATAAAAATGTCAAACTGGTTTACATATTTACTAAGTTAATACATTCGCTTATAAACATAGTTAAGAGTTAGTCCTGATTCATTACATTAGCGTTAGCGTCGATATTAGATTAACAATAACAATTACACATTAACGTTAACGTGATAACGATAAATGATATTCGATTGATGTAATTATTTGATAGAGATCGTAGTGGTAGCAAATCTACAGCATTCAGGGGGAATTGTCCGTACACGTGATTATCCAATCACGTGTTTGATCTCTGACATTTTCTCCATGCACTGTCAACGATCAATCAACACGTAAACTTTAACGCGTATCGTGAAATACATCATTTTTTATTAAATTAAAAACATATCATTTTTTATCAAATTAAAAATAGATCATTTTTTTATCAAATTGTCATTTTTTTTTATTAACTTCATTTTGCCTTTTTACCTTTTTATGCAATAAAATAAACTGCATTTATTTTATGTTCTCATTTCGTCCTTTCGTGTAATATATATAAACCTTAATTAATTTAAGTATTTTTTTATTTTATTTTTTTATTTGAATTATAGTGAATTTTCACAGTTCACTAACAAAATTTCTTTCTATTTTTCCCAATATGAATTTTTGCATCACTTGCAATAATTATTTACTCGCAGAAGTTTTTATTTACAAAAACAAAACTTACAAGACTTGTATGAATTGCTTGAATGCAAGATCTAAAAAAAGAGCTATGAAAAAACAATCAACAACTGATGACAATCAGCCTGAAAGAGAGGAGGAAATAGTCTATGAGAAAGTTGCTTTTGCTAAAATTGTCAATTATATTACTAGTAAAACTGCTAACCTTAAAAAGAATGATGTATTATCCTTTAATCTTTATGTCAGACTTGATACTGTACAATATGATGCAAAGAATATGATAAAGCTAATAGTGAACAAGATCGAGAAGTTTGACATATATGATTGGATGTTTACGACTGATCCTGAAATGTTATTATATTATCATGATGTCAGCTTGTTTTTACCTGGCATGTTTGCAGTACCGTGAACTTGAGCACAAATATAAGAAGTCAAACTGAAAGAGGATAAATCATTTTGACTGTTATAATAAATTAACAATTTATGTTAACATATCAATAGGAAAAGTGATAGTGAGATTTTGTTATAATATTTAACATAAAAAACCTGTTGATATTACAATGTCACCAGAAATAAAGCATGAAATTATTCAGAATTTTCACATAAATTCTATATAGTTTCAGGTACATTTACATTAAATGTCACTTATCACTGAGAAATAAATTTATTATTGATAATTAATATATTACCAATGCTTTTATAAATTAGATGAAGATTATATAATTTCTGCACATCACTTTTTTGATGAATCTTATACTGAAATCAGTGAGCTTTGTTTTGATTGAAATACTGACTTGGTTATAGTAATCAGGTTCACAATCCCTCTATTAACCAAACTATTATCATTGTCAAGTATGTATTGTGATATGACTTATAGAACAATCAAAGAACACTTCAAACTCTATGAAAATTATCAGTAATATTGAGAATATAGGATTTTTAATAGCATATCTCACTTTGAATACTACAAAAGTGCAAGATATTGAAGAACAAACAGAATTACAGATGAAAATTCTTGCTAGCTTCCTTCATTCTCTCTGTGACAAAGAGTTGTAATCATGATACTTTTACACCAACAAAGATTTTGCAGAAATCAATGCTGCAAAAGAAGTGTGACCTAATGCTGATATATAGCTCTGTCTATGATACATCAAAAAGACTGTTAGAGAAAAGCTCAAGAGTCGTAAGCGAATCTATCACAACAAATATCAGTCAAATGATGTTGTAGTAGAGTTTGATTTTATTGACCTCACATTTAAGCCTGATTTGGAACATTCTGAGCCTGAATATTACATAGTATACCTGTCAGATATACAAGATAAGATTATTAATCTAATTAGAAAGCACTTTAATATGCATATAAGAATTCCTATAAATGCTGCAGGACAATTCCTAACAGCTGATGAGATACGAAAGAGTGCAATCCGCAAAATATACAAGTTTTGTGTCGCAAATAATCTCATTTTGCTTTGGACCTATTTGTGAACTTCTTGGTATATGATAACAAAATGGATACTCTGGATCTGATCAACACGATTGATTGCGAGAAAATAAAGAATTAGCGAAAAAAGTGGGAATATTACCTAGCATGGGAATTCTCTGCTCGGAAGATATTTCGCCGATGAATAAGATAAACTTTACTGGCAATATTACTCATATACAAGGCTGTTTCCAAAGCCGAATAACCTCCTCCTACTACTGCCACCTCTTTCTCCCGAAAAAGAAAACATTAGTTCATCGAGGGTGTTTTCTAAAAGCTTTTCTTTCTGAGAAAGCTCGGAGTAAACTCCTTGCTTTTCATCAGCTAAAGGATCAGTTTGAGTTGATTCCGCTTGGCAAAATGAACATGCTTATTGAATCGCACTGGAGGATCATCAAGCATTGTTATCTTCATAGGTTTAATCGATCATGATTGGATTATATTATGTGGATCATTTGTACGTGTATTTTTCCTAACCAGATTACTCGTCTCAATCAAATGTGCTTAGGACGAATGACTTCTTCTTGGTTTGAGGAGTTCAAGAGTGATTGGAAGCAGCTCATTGTAAAACCAATTGCTGATGAGCACGAGGAACATTATTTTATTGACCTGGCATGTTGAATATGTAGTTGCCCGTCATTTCTTGATAGTCACTTCCTCATTAGCAAGCACTTAGTCCAGCATGCAGTTAAAATGGCGAAGTCAACTAATCCGCAGGGTGTTCGTCTATTGTATAGTAATTTTCAGCAGCGAGAGAACTATCCCTTTCTTATATGGAATGGCAAAAAGTCGCAAAATATATCCGAAGAGGCATATATACCACAATCTTCTTCAATTTCACAATTTGATGTGTTAGGTAGCGGGTTAGTTGAGATGGATGAGGATGAAAATGGTCAAGAAATACGTTATGTTTGTGAGCTCAAGGTAGCGGCTGTAAGACGTATGGCAGAACATCTTGAAATCGAGCTTGCAGCTAATAACTTGCGTCATGTTATGCGAGTTGTTGATAATACAAACCATTTGTTCACAATATTAGATGACATCGAGACAGCGCAACGTAGACGGCTACGTGATCCAACATGGCGTGGATCAAAACCATGGACATTATTTTTACAATAGTCGTTTAAATTTGCTGCCATCAAGATGTAAAAATTTTAAATAAATCCTAAAAAGAACAAATAATATCTGCAGCAAACCTTATTGATTACGAAGAACCCAATTGTGTTATATCGATTATGATTTGCGCTAGTTGCTAATAAGTATACATTAATTTTTATTTAAAAAATAATCGTCAGATAATAATTATCGTTATGCTTCCATTTTAAATGGGTTGATTGTTTGATTTTCGATCACTGGAATCACGTATTTTCCGATATCATTTACCGAAGTGACCGGTCCAGTTACGTATATGTGCAACACGTGATTTGATAATCACGTGTTCGGACAATTCCCCTGAACGCTGGTGTGGTCGTAGTGGTAGGATATCGATATGATTGTTGATTCGAAACTGTTCTGTTATTATTGTTCTCGTTACTTTCTAGAGACACTGATTTGTTCAAACGTTAATGTTTTTTGATGCTAGCAAATTAAAAAAAAATAATTTTTATCCTATTAAATAATGATAATGCATATATAAAGTCACGCTTACCAGTTTCATTTAATAAAGAGTATGATGTTGGAAGTGTTTCATTATAATTATATTGAACGATGTCGGCACAGGAGTAGAGACTAACGTACATCATTAAACCTACTCACTCTCCCAACTCATTGTTGCAGGACAATCATCAATTACGATCTACCCGCACGACAATATGTTAGAGGACTATGTTCTTGGTTGGTGCTCAAACAGATAAGAAAATAGCATTCGAGTGATATTGAAGTCAGCAGATGGCACGGATGCTAATGTACAATTTAATCTTGGTTGATGTTATCAGAACGGTATTGTGAAGGGATTCAAAAAGAACATATGAATGATATTTAAAATCAACGAAAGGTGGAGATGCAAGAGGAACAATTTAGCTATTTTATGGAATGGAACACAAAAAGCTAATAAAAAGCATCCAAGTAATATTCGAAATCAACAAAGGGTGGAGACACAATTGAGTAATGTGACCTTGATTCACTGTTATCAAAACGGAATACAAAAAGTTAATAAAAACGCATGTTGAAATCAGCAGTGAATAGACATGCAAGCGGACATTGTAATCTATTAAAAACACAAAAATGCACTCGAGTAGTATTTGAAATTAGCAAGGTGGGAAGTGTTAATAGGTAACATAATATTGTTTGGTAGAATCAGAACATAAAAACATTCGAGTGGTGGTCTGCAAAAGATGGAAATGCGGATGGATAATGTGACTTTGGTTTTTATTAGTAAAATGAAATAAACGAGTTATCATGACCAAAATTTTTGATCTACACATCTTCAAGTTTTCGACCACGTAAAGCAGAAAAAATGGGTGGAAACCAAGTCTCTTTGGATCGAGAACTTACCGTCATATGCTAAGTTAATAAAATCAGGACACGTGAATTTATTTGGGGGACTTTCTGACCGGGGTTTCAAACAATTTTTCATGAGTCTTTGGATCACAATATATTTACCATATCACGTATGTTTATTAACAGTTATGATTCTACTAATATCGATATGTTCTTTCAACTAGGGACGCTGACTCAATAGAAAATTTAAACACATATATAAGTTTTGTGTTAAAAAAAATGAGTACGGGTTCTATTATTCAAATGTATATTTGAAAGGCGTTAATGCCGTCGCCAGTCATACGAACTTCCAGAGTTTCTTTGCTGAGTGCCAATTCAGCATTTAGAGGTTGCTGAATATATCCCAATTATCCAGGGCAACTTTATTAATAGAAACTTAGCAAAATGCAAACAAATGAATTATTCTGTATTAAGAATACACCATGCCAGCCCACATACACCTCCTATTCTTTGGTGTACACCTCAATCCTCTCTCTCTTTTAATCCAGAAAATTCTCCACCTCGACCCTATATTCAACAACCCCACAATTATCTCTATCACTACTTTCACGTCTTTGCGAATTTGAAGTTCACAATTCTTTTTTTTCTGGATCTATAATTTCTTGCGTAAATAAAAGATGGTAGTCGGGTTTCGTGATGTAAATATCTTTCGGTGTATACAAGATGAATCTCCAGTCTATGGCTAATATTGGAAAGTTAATAGTTAATAATGTTTAATTTATCACCATTCGGAAGCATAAGCAAATATTTTCTCTCACATAAATGCTCTATGAGAGAATATCAGGCAGTAGATGGACAGAGTGTTTTCTTCCTGGCCTGACACAGTACATCTTTTTTCATACCCGTAGTGACGAATTCCAAATGCTTCACTAGTGGTCCGCTTTCTCTTGTTTGGTAGGAGCTTTCAAGTTGCATTAGAGTGCATGACATCCGCAAATATTTGACCCTGTTTGTCCTCGTTAATACATACTATTTCATCAACCAAGGGTTCCTTACTTTCTTGCTCCTTACTTTACTAATAGAGCGGTTGACCTGATCTGATGTTTCATCACCTATGATTACAAACTGAGGTTGTAGAACAAGCGTTTTACTGGTGATTCTTTCGACAATGCCTAAGCTCCCAAGTAAGAAGAAGACCTCGACGTATGTAAAACTTACAGCTTTGTTAGTATCAGCTGCCGGATCAATAAATTCCATTTTGTGTTTAATCTCATCTATGCAATATTGTAATTCTTAGTTGTTGTCATCAATTGTTACTGTTTCTGTGAGAAAATATATGTTAGTGAGCATCAATGAATACCTGTCTCCGAGGCACAAGACAACCCCACAATTTACTAGCTTATCTGGATTGAACGTAGAATGTTGTCAAAGTTGTCACCATCGATTCCATATTTTTCAATACACTTCTCATCTTCTTGAGATCCTTGACGAAGTCAGCAAGTCTTGATGCTGGTCTCATTTCCAACCCAGTTTCCATAAAATTTTTTCGGTCATATTGAGAAAATCGCGACCAGCAATTTTTTGCTTGCGGATAATTTTCAAGTCATCGCCGTTAAGCTCCAAGTCTTCTTATTTTCGCAAAAATTCAATAAGCTCGTTCGTTTTGTACTTTTTGGCCACATCAGCTAACGTGAGTTCTGGTTTTTCTTTGGTTGTCGAGGTAGAAGTAGATGTTGGCGCAATTGTCATAGCTTTAGAGTGAAATGTGAAAATTTTTCTTTCTATTTTTGGAAGGATCAGTGAATAAGGAAATACATGTACACCACGCGCAAAATTTTTATATGTATCTGCTGTCCCAAATCAGCAATTTTTATTCAACCCTTGAGTAAGATCCTAATTTTTCGTTCCGCTATTCGTATTTAGAATTCATAGATCGCCATCTTTACAATTATCGAGTAGCCGGGTCTTCCATAATATCGTAAACTGATTTATGTGTGGAAGTTATTGTGTTATCATTGAAAGAGTTCATGAGACATGAACTAAACGAACTTTTATAGTGCATTCTTCAATACTAATAGTACATTCAGAATATCTTGCTATTGCTGGGTAAGATGAGTGGGTGGGTAAGAAATCAAATATTGAACCGCGTATTTTTGAAAGCTTATTAAGGTAAATTTTTTTAATATTATGTTTATATTAAATCAAGATTAATCTATTCGTTCATGTTTTTTATATATAACGATAACGATAAAATATCAATATATATACAGCAGCAAATCGATTTGTACGATCAATGCTTCTAGATCTGCTAATGAATTGATTCTGGAAGATTTGATTGAATATATTCAAGAATATCTTTTGGAACAATATCATGAATCCATGGTTGAAAATTATAGTAATTTTATTTAGTTGGATTGATTTTTACTCAAAAAAATGAAGATTTAAGATTTAAAATTTTGATTTTATTTACTGCAATAAATCTTTCTGGGCAAGCATGTCATCAAAGTCTCAATATTAGAAAATTATAACTGATTTATAAAGCAGAAAACTTTTCAAGATATCTACATGTTCACAGTTATAATAAAAATACAAACTGAAATTTCTTCATTTTATAATTGCAAATTATCTTGTCTGTACGGAAAGTAATGGAAAAATTTTTTTTACCATATAATTGATCCTCTTCTAAAAAAAACTAGTGTAAAAAATATATGGCATTTCTAACTCTATCCCAAAATATACTATACTAGCACTTGTACATGTATTTCCATATAATAATCTGGAGTAGTTGAACATGAAGGACATCAATTAACTCACAAAATTTCACCAAGTTAACGAATCTTTATTCATTAAGAAAAATGTCTGGTTAAAAAATTGTGTTAAAATTATATATATTATTTTAAAATAAAAATCTTGAAGAGCAAATTGAAACAACATTACTAGTTATAATTTTTTCAAACATTTAAGCCTGTATTGATATGGAAAAAGAATATATTATGCATTGATTTTTTAAGAATACGATACTCTATGATGCATAATATCTAAAATCGTCAAATATTTGTATTTTATAAAATGAATAAACTTCTTAACTAAGAAGTAAATACAAAATTAAATCTGTGAATATGATAGAATAGATTCTTTCTGAGCATATTTATGAATTAAATTTTGTATTTATATTTTAGTAAAAAAGTTTATTCATTTATATATAAAGCTCTGTTCAGGTCGGATCATATCAGATTTGAGGTCAACCTGAACCGATAATTTCTGGTCGGGTCAGATTCTGATCGGGTTTGATCTGAAAATCGTAAAATAGTTTTTCGTCAATAACTTTATTTTACTAAGGCACTTGTATTTTGTGTCTAAGTAGAGTTGTTCGGGATGTAATTTTGTATATGCCTACAAATTTTTGTTTAATTCCAATCGATATTGAACGTAAAATAACGATTTTTAGGCTAATCCGAATTATTTCGGGTCAGGTTTGATCCCAATCCGACTCGACCCGAAATGTGCGTTCCGGGTCGGACCCGCCCGGTTGGAGCACTAGTGACTCGTGATAGTTACTAATCACTTGATTTTTCGGCAAGTAAGCAGGAGTCAATTTTTTGAATTATTTAACATGTTTGATTTTTGAAACTAAAAATGTGCTAAGTCACATGATTGACATTTTTAAGTGATCCGCACTGTACGTATAATGTTCAATATATTTAATAAATCTATTAGCTTATACATGTAACAATAAATCTGGTTTTTTATTTTTTTGCATTATTATATTTTAAAAAGTATTCACAAGATTCTGGTAGGCCACTGTAGATCCTATTACGTACTGTATTATTTTATTACTAAGAATCGAAATTTATTATCAATTAATTGTTATTTATTAGCATAAAGAAAAATTTATACAACATAATTTGTTCTACCAAACAGCTATTTAATCGATTTCATTCAGGTGTAATTAAGTTTCCACATTTGAAAAGAGACATTCAGATGGAATTGATGTGGTAGGGATTGTCAAGTATTTGTGTGCAAGTTGGTTATAGGAATAGGAATTGATTCTCAGCCCAAAATTGATTCTCAAACAAAGATTACGACGTAGTGCCCTAGCTATGGCAAAAAAAGGTGTCAAATAAACCAATCCAACCAATAAGAACGCGCAAAAATTCTGCGCAACCAATAAGAATGTAGTAAATTTTTGGTCAACCCGGCAAAACAAATCAGACACAAGAAAATAAGAAAAGACAAAATACAAAAACAGATATCTAAATATAGCTTGACGCATTATCAAGAAATGTCGGGAAGCCAATTTTAAGTTTGACCTCAGCTTTAACTCTAACCCTAATACTTGACATCTAAAAAAATCGGATATTTTAATGTACCTATTTCAGATTACATAACCAGACACCTTTTTCCATGGCTAGGGTACGATAATGACGACAACGACAGCAAGCGATGAAATAACTGGTCTTTGGTTTGTTTTTCATTGCATGTTGATTTTTTCCTTTCGTTGGAATAGTTGAAGTATATTTTGATTAGTTGAAATTATGCTTGCTTAGTTGAATTCGTAGAGATACTACGCGGTATAGAAGCAATTGAAGTATTCCGTCTCCGTTTCATTACATGTATTTCTGTTGTTTTATAAATATCATTCAAATTTGGATTAATATTAGTTACTTTTGGCATTAGTATCACTATCAGAGTTATTAAACTTTAGATTGGTAATAGTTTCTTGGTTATTATCATATTAACATTTTGGTTGAATGTGAGTAATAGTTTGTCGTGCTATATCATTTCGCAAGTAAAATCATTATCGTTACATGTATTATCGATTTTGTCTTTAAAATCGATTCTCAAATTTTAATCTATTCACAAATATTAATCGATTCTAGAGAATTGATTTCTATCTCTGACTGGTGTTGTCACTTTCTCTTATAATTTTCAATCTCATAAGTTATTTTCTCCTTTATCATTGAGTGAATATTATTCGCTTCTTCTGATTTCAATGGTTACTTTTCAGCCTTATGACTTTCCGCATAACGATGGACAAAGCTGACAAAGTTTTGAACAATACGGGTTGCAAGGAGAGATATTACTGCACACCATATTTTAGTTTGTGAAGTAAAATCATTATGATTAAAAAGCATTCGGAAAGTTATCAATCGGAGAAAAGTGAATCTGATGATTTCTAAGAATCTAATAAGCCTTAGACCAGATTCACTTTTTCTAAGTAAATCGATACATATTGCAAGGGATTACGAAATGGAAAAATCAAAGATTTGCATCGTGTATAATTTTATTAGAGATAAAATCTGAGAACTCTTTATTAAATATGCAGAAAAAACTATTTTAATAACCAACACAAGATAAACTAATAATTTTTTAAAAAAGAACTAACAGGATAAGTAAATAATAAATGAAAGAATGACTAAACATTTCTTCATGATACAAGAAGAATTATGTTAAGAAAACTGATGTAATTCAGTAAGGTAAGTTGACACAAATTAGCAAATTAGCTGTTCTACATCCAATAACAATTTTGTTGAAATCATAACTGGGCACACCATTACTACTGACGATCACCAATATCCGACTTCGCTACCGTAGTTGCACATCTTCACACAACATCCATCGTGGGAAGGACTGTCCCATCTGTAAGATTTAATGTTGTAACCAGGTTCGAAAGTGCCTCTTTGAGTGTAAGTTTTAGAAGTACCATGATAGTTGTTTTCTGATCAAGCTTGAAAAGAAAATGCTGATGCGAGACGAACAATCAACAAGCTAACAATAAGTTTGTAAAGCACGATAGCAAAATTATACGTATGCATTGCCAAATTACGAAGTTTGTTTAATCTGTTAAAAAGAAATCATAAAAATATCAAAACCTGTAGAAATCAAAAGAAATAAAGAATATAAACCAAACAACATCTTTTAAATACTTTATATGCCAAGTTTTGTTTAGAAAGCAAAGTTTTTACATAGAAAAATTCGTATATCGCTATCGCTAATAACGATAATAGCGGTCGTAGGAAATGTCCTCTGTACTGTATTAATTAAGGGATCAACAAATGCATAAGTATGGAATTATTACACAGATTGAAATAGCAGAATCTCAAATTGTATTCTTCCCTTCACTCACGGATCTGGATATCCTAGACCAAACCAACAACATTCTCCAAGTTTCATCAGATCACCCATCCAACACTCGATTCTGCCTTCTTGTTCTCTTTGTTCTTTTGGAGGTTTGATCTTCTCCGAACACAGCGTTTCGTACATCTGAATATGCAGATTTTGGTATTCCCGCTACGACACACCAACGTGAAATATAATGATAAAAATATTGAAGAATAGATAAGAATGATAATGAAAAAGTAAATTATTAAAATTGTCATACAATCATATAAAAATAATAACAAATTTCAATTATAGCATAATCGTCCGAAAAAACAACGAAAGTAATGATTACCCATATACCTAATAAGAACTTTGGTGATGTTGAATGAGCCTTTATAGTCTATCTATCGTCAAATCCACCAATTCTCCTGTCCTTTTTACAGATGAAAACATTGAATGTCTTTTCGGTTCGCGGCATGACAATCAATTCAATTTTCATTGCTTGGCCGTCAAACATCAATTCGCGAAATCGCTCCACCGCTCTAAATGCATCACCCCTTTTAATGAAAACGATTACTGAACCCTTAAAAATGAGTTTATCATAGTTGAGCGTATAAGATCTATCATCTCACCGAATAGTACATATAAATCCGCTTCGGTACTTAATCAAAATAATATTATATTTTGTCTCTATTCCATGCACCGTCAGTGAACCCTCTCTTTTTATACATTATTTTAAGGCTTATTCTGCAAAGATACATAAATATTATTTTTGAATTGTTTAAACTGCTTATATAACAGTCCTAATGCTCACAAAGATGATTTGGGGATGAGGTGTTTTTAAAATTATGTTACTAAGTTTAATCACTCATTTTTATTAGCAATATAATTTTCGCGTATTTTTTTTGAATTACATTAATTTATGCATTTTATTTCTGGAATAATCACTATGTTGAAGAAATTTATAATATGAAATTGAGTGTCAAGCACACAACCTAAAATATCTAGTGCCAATCTATATACATGTAGTCACATGCAGAAGCAGAGATCATCAAGACCACTCGTCGACTATATAAAATTACGCGCGTTTTGTGTCGTTGCCCGCATTCGCAAATATTTCGATCTCTCATCTAGAAAAAATTACTTCTCTGATTAGACCCTGCTGTAATAATCTAAATGTAAATGTAAATTATATTATTAAAGGTTGAACCTTTATCGTTATTAAATAATGTTACAAGAGTAATTATGCTAATTCAAAATACGTAGATATGCGAACGCATTCTAGTCGTTTATTCTTTCATTGAAGATTGTTTAGTAATGAACATTCACATTCCCTTCACTTATTTTGATACTTCTGTGCATTACTGTTATATGGCTTTTCGTTCTTAAATAATATCAATAGAAATCTTAAATTTTTTCAAAACGCATGGTAGAATTGCAAAAATTGAGTCATTAAAAATATGTTGCCTATTGAATTTTTAATGCTAATAGGATTTATTGTTCTCATACGACATCCTTTTAATTATAATGCATAATGTTAAATAGAACATTTTTGTCTTAAAATTTATTTATTCTTGATAATTCGGTTATCACAAATACCTTGTTTCACACATAAGCATTGTAAACCGGAAGAGTGCATTGACGTATTTTTGCTGCTGTCTCATCATCACCAAGAAAGACGCAGAGTATATACTTTTAATCTATTAGTTACGAATTAACTTTATAACAATTAGCTATTTTAATGAACGCAACGATAAATGACTCCGCACATATGGCAACTTCTGGCAAATTATCAGAAAAATTAGTATTTTAAATAATTTTTTGGACTGTTATCATGCAGAGAACACGAGATTAAAGATTGATTTTTAAAATATTAATAAACTAAAAGTACATGTATATTTCAGCCAAATAACACAGACAGAAAAGGGTTGGTACACTAGTGAATTTTTTTGGTGAACCTCTCGAAGAATTCCTAGTGGTTTTAAACGGGTTTCTTCTAAATCTAACGAATTATTAGAAATTTACTAAGAAATACATAAATGCATGTAGAGGAGCATTTTTATCATATTTCACAAAAACTCTTCAATAAACAAACACGTAAAATAAGTTTTCTCTAAAATGCCTCAGCGTGTAATAACTATAATAGTAATAAAAAGTTCTGACGCAACAATATTATCTCACTGTTATCGTGATTGAGGTTAATTTGGTGAATAAAAAATGGATTTTGTGTACTGTTGCGTGCTACTATCTTAATCGGTCAAAGGGGAGGGGGTTTTACGCAACTGGGATGAGAGCTAGACTGAATTATTTACGAGTAAAGGGTTTCTTTGGGCGTTCTAAAGGCTCCCGTGGCGACTTGTACACAAATCGACGTTGAAAAAAGGTAAGGGGGCGAAAATAATAATATAATAAAAAAGGGAATAATCCAAAATCAATTTAATTAATATAACACAATAGGACTATTTAACAAAACAATTCAACGAAAAACAATTTAACAGGACTTAATGATACGGCCTAGAGAAAGGAAAATCAAAATAACAATAATATCAAGAAACACAATTAACGGCTATTTAAAGTGGAGGAACATTCACTACTTGCAATTACTCACAAGGTTTGAAGTTTGACCAATAGAATAAAATAATAGTGTATTCACAAGTAATATTACTATTACGAATAAGAACTTTGTTATTTTATTAGATCAAAGCATGTCTTTCACAGACTCATTACACTTCTTCTATTTACACAGTTTTCGGGTTACTACGCTACTACTATGCTAATTGTACATTAATTCTAAGGTTAGTATTTTCTTTGATTGTGTTTCTTCTAGAAAGAATTGAACAATAATCGTTTGATTGTTTCTCTGCTATAGATAATCGTCTTCTTCCAGATAATCAACACTGATCCGTTAAAATATTGACGAACGACGGTGAAAATGGATAATGAATTATTTCCTATTTTGGTTGACAATACGATTGGCACGGAAGGATCTTCCGAAGTGTTTACGGTAAAATTTTCATGCAGAAATTACTTGAAAATTATTGATGAATTAAAGGATTTATTGGTACATGTACTACGGTAACAGTACCAACTTCCGAGATCGACCAACTCCATTACCTACTAAATATGGACCACTAGACTATATATCACAATCAGTCTAACGCTAATGATCCTTAACGTTAATGTTAACGTTAACCGTTTAACAAGAAAACTATGAATAGTATATGATCTTCCAAAAAAGTCACCGAATTCAGTGTAGTTTGAGAAGACGTTGTATTGGTTTAAGAAAGCTGCGAGTGGAAATTATGCTGAAACACATTTCGATATATGTAATCTAAGAAAAATATTATATATTCAAATACTCAAATGTTGAATAAATGAGTTTTCTTTTTTTGGAAAGGTGCAATTGATATATGTTTCTTTAGTGCCTGTTTTGAATAATGACATTAAAATGACACGCAATGACGCAAAGGACGTTGAAAGAACATTCAAAGGACATTGAAAGAACATTCAAAGGACATTGAAAGACATTCAAACAAGGACATTGAAATGATTGGATTGATATCAAATGACTTAAAAGATATAAAAATCACCGTTTATTAGCTAAAAAGAGAAATGTCACGTTATCGTTACAGAACTTCAAAAATCTCTGTAGTGACACCCAATTATGGTTACTGTCAGATTTTGACTTAAGATTTTTTCAACAACCTCTATAACGAAAGATAATACGTAGTGACACCAATTTATGATAAACAAGTAGAAAATCAAAGACCAAAGCATATGATACGTATTTGGTTTTCATACAGTGCAGGACACTTAAAGTCGCCAATAAAATTAGTCATCTTTAAAGCAAAGGATCTTTATACAAAGGTTATGCAAAAAAAAAAAGGAGGCCGCTATTTTGTAGTAGATAGGTCTAGCTACAAAATATCTGCCCCCTTTTTTTTTGTATAACCTTTGTATAAAGATTCTTTGCTTTAAAGATGACTAATTTCATTGGCGACTTTAAGTGTCCTGCACTGTATAAACATTTATTTATAATCTTTGATACTACAAGTGACTCTCGTTATAGTAAAGACTAATTAAACTCTTGATTCATCCAAAACCAGTCTATAATCCTCTCGTTATAGTAAATTTACTAATAAATTCTCGATATAGTAAATTTTTTACTAATGGTACGAATGCCTTTACTGTAACGAGAGTCACTTGTCTTAATAATTTGGATCACAAAGCTAAATATACTGTGTTTCAAAAATTCTATGAGTTATAGAAAAGTTTTTTTCGGCAATTAATAATCTTTAGAGATGATACTTTTCATTGGCTTTGATCAAAAGCTAAATCCAAAATCGCTATATTTCATTTGTCCAGAAAAATCTATTTAACCAATCCTCACAGCAAGCAAAAAAAATAAACTCAAGTAAGAAGTAGAGAACAATTATCAAGAGGAAAATCAGGTATATCTAATATCGCAACCATACTTTCATGCTTCTTTGCCACTCTGTTTATAACAAATGAGAAGTAATTAGAACTAATTATTTCGGTTTTTTAAAAGAAATAACTACCAAACGAAAATGAACCGCTTTTCTCCTATTTTTATCTTTGGTATCTTGGGTCTTTTGATCTTTCTTATCTCTGGCACTTCTGCTGATTGCACTTACGGACAATTCTCCGGCTGTTCATGTGCGGGAAAGTACCAAGGTCAATGGTGCGCGAGCGAATTAGGTTCAAGTTGCAACTCTAATTATCCCAATAATATCTTCGAGTGTGGTAATGGAAAAATCTGTCGTTATGGCCCTTGCACTAAAGGCTGCGCAATTGCTTATCCTAATTCTCACTGCAACAAGTAATAAGTACTGGTACAAGAAAGCAATTTTTGTATGAGATGTGTT